CCTCTCCATCCCCATACATTCATCTGTTCCACTCGGCTTTGCCAAAAACTGGAGTTTGACTGCCTCATAAATCTAGGCAATACGAGGTCACAGCCATTTTGCAATGCCACCACACGAAGAAAAGAGGTTGAAATGTTATTTGGACCTTAACGCTGTTTTACTGGAAGCAGAAACTCCATTGATGGGAAGAAGAATGCTTCACAAAACATACTTTGGACAGTCAATATCTACTGAATTCAGACCAGAAAGTTTATGCTGTGAGGCTCAGGTCTTGTTGTTTGCAAGATTTAAAAGATGAGATCGAGTGTAGGAGAAAAAGCAGCAACAACCACCTCCAGCTGGAAATACGAGGCACCGCAGAAAGATCAATAACTCGTTAAAAGCGACAGTTTGAGCGCAAAGGAAGCTCAGTCTGTCTTTGAAGGCTTCGGTTCAATTTAACAAATGAGTTCCGCAAAGCACCATCGATGCTCATGTGTGATACATCTTGGGCCATTTCTATAGACAAGGTAATCCCAAGTGCTTCAGTGGGAAAAATAGGTGTGTTGATAGTCAGTTCAGGAGCCGCAAGAACTCGAGAGCTTGTAACGGAATCACAGAATCATAGATATGGAAGGGAATTACCATATTTTCGCTCTATAAGACGCACCAGACCATAAGACGCAACTAGTTTTTGGAGGAGGAAAACAAGGAAAAAAAAATTCTGAATCCCAGAAGCCAGAACAGCAAGAGGGATCACTGCGCAGCGATCCCTCTCGCTGTTCTGGCTTCTGGATAGCTGCGAAGCCTTGTATTCTCTCCATAAGACGCACACACATTTCCCCTTTTTAGGAGGGGAAAAGTGCATCTTATAGAGCGAAAAATACGGTATGTGGAACAGTGGCATGCGGTCAATGGACTGAGGGGACTAGGCTAGTTCCCTAAATGTTCCCCTGGTGTCTCCTTCCCAAACCCCAGGAAGCTTCTGCTCAGCTGAGGGAGGGAGGCGTGAGGCTTTGATGGGTCCAAGCAGAGGCGTAGCAAGGTCAGGTGGTACCCGGTGCAGAAAATTTCTTGTCACCCCCCATTCAAATTATTAAAAGAAGGAAAAATAAGATACAGTCGCAAGTGTTCTTTTCTGGTTTATTTACTGAACATTGTGAGCATAAGCAGCTTTGGCTTAGCGGCCCAGGAGCTCGTCCATGGCGCCCGCGCTGCCCAGAGCCCAACCGCTGTTGGTGGCTGCCTCGGCCTCTGTAGGATGGCCTTGGCCTTTGCAGGCCACTACTTCCTCGGCAGGTCGCTGCAGCGGCCCAAAAAACCCAACTGCTGCTGGCAGGGGGCCTTGGCAGCATCGGGAAGTCGGTCTTGAGAGCACCAGTCCTTTCCTTGCCTTTGCCCTGCCCTCAGCCTGCAGCTGATTGGCCAGCTGGGTTGGGGGCGGGGCGAAGGTCCCAAGGCAAGGGGAGTGGCATCCAGGACCCAGGAAGTCCCGCCCACCTCTCGGAAAGGAGCTTCAATAAGTTTATTTTTTAAATACTTATTCTTTCCAGTTTGTCACCCCCCTCGGTGGTGACACCTGGGGCGGCATGCCCCTACCGCACCCCCGTTCCGATGCCACTGGGTCCAAGACCTATCCTGCCATCTTCCCAAAGCCCATCCAGCTTTGGGAAGGAGCCACAAGGGCTTCTGCATCCCTTAAGAGCCCTGGCACCTCCTTTGCAAAGCCCAATAAACTCCTGGCCAGCTTAGGGAGGGAGTCACAAGGCTCACGCAACGTCGGGACATCACAACGTCACATGTGTGACGTGGGTCCCCCCCATCCCTCTCACAAGCTGGTGCCTCTGGCCCTCAACTGCTCCCCTACAAAAATATTCACCTCACACCCCTGATGTGGAAAGCAATTAATAAGGAACAAGAACAGATAACAAGTGGCGAAGGCCAGCGCTTGCCGCACCTCAACAAGGATGCTGTTCCACAGAACGAGGGCAGCTATGCAGAAAGCCCTGCAATGAGCTATTCTGGATCATGGTGCCTACATGTGAGCAGCAATGCCTGAAAGGGGTGTCTGTAGTCCTGGTGGTCTTCCGGTTGCCATATTTCAAGAATATGGTGGCGCTGTGGTCTAAACCACTGAGCCTCTTGGCGGAAGGTTGGCAGTTCGAATCCCCACAACAGGGTGAGTTCCCATTGCTCTGTCCCAGCTTCTGCCAACCTAGCATTTCGAAAGCACACCAGTGCAAGTAGATATATAGGTACCACTGCGGCGGGAAGCTAAACAGCATTTCCGTGCACTCTGGTTTCCGTCACGGTGTCCTGTTGCGCCAGAAGCGGTTTAGTCATGCTGGCCACAAGACCCAGAAAGCTGTCTGTTGACAAACACCGGCTGGCTCGGCCTGAAAGCGAGATGGGCGCCGCAACCCCATAGTTGCCTTTGACTGGATTTATCCGTCCAGGGGTCCTTTACCTTTACCTTATTTCAAGAAGTAAAAAATCTGGACATTGTTCAAAAAGTTGTTGAGCTGTTTCGGGGTGGACAGCAGGGTGGTGATTGGGCTTCCGAAATTGCCATCTAGGAGGCAACAAGGAACCGACTGCTGCACAGTGCTTCTGCTGGGGAACAGATAAAATCCAGGACATTTACTATTGATTTAACCCCGGGGAACCAATTTAGCCCCCACCTCCCAGACATTACTGGAATTTTCCGGTACATATGGTGACCCTACTTCAGATGAAAAATGGAACTCAAAATTCTAACTATTCTTTTACATTTCTCTTTGGTACCTGAAGGGAGGGGGGGAAATTATATTTTATATTGCTGCACCTCAGACGTTTCTTATCTGATTTTCCTGAAATTTGTCTCCTTCCGCTGCAATAATGGTGATGCCGGGCTGTTTCTAAGTGGTTGTTTCTGGTTTGCGTTGATTCATGAATTATAATTTTTATTACATTACTGTGAAGTCAAAGAGAGTCCCTTCTTGGGGAAAAAACGGTGATGTATACCTTCTTGGATTTTTAAAAACCCTATTTGGAAGTGCTGACAGAGGAGCGAAAAGTCACAAAGGTTTAATAACTATTTTGACTGCAATCTCCCTTTATTGCTATAAATACTGCATTACATGATGTAAAGATTATCTACCGTGTAACTTTGAGGGGGGGGGACCCAGTAATATATGTGTTCTACTTCTATTGAAGAGGGGGGAAATTTTTTTACACCTGCTGTTTAGAATGATTATAACTGCTTTTTTAAAAATATAATCTCTGTAGATGGACAATACTAAGCACATATAAAGTGTAGTTAAGTGGGGTTTTTTAAAAATAAAAATAAAACACTTGTCTGTTTCCATGGCAACTTCAGAACCGTAAGTCCTTAATTGTTTAAAAATTGCTTCTCCCTGCAGTGTGCTTATTAGTGAGAAATCCTCCCCAGACCCCCAAATCTGGAATTAATTTAAATAAACACTCAGAATTATGTATTTGTATCAGTGCTGCAGAGTATTAAAAGTATCTCGGTGCATTGGTATATTTTACATTTAATTATTACACTTCACAGCCAAGTCCAGCACTTAATGGTCTTTGTAAATAGTATGGGCAATCTAAAAACATCTCATCAAATGTTTCTCCCTTCTGCCCCTAGCCCAACATTTCATCTGGCGTATCTGCTTAAATCATGAATGGAAAGTGTTTTGAACATTTGGGGGAAGTGTTATGGAAATAATAATTAGCAGTTATACAGCATTTGAGGGCATTCAAGGCAATTTCCACACATTATCATCATCATCATCACCATTTTATTTTCATGCTGCCTTTCCATAGTTAAAACAATGCTCAAGGCTGCTTACAACATGACAAGATTTACATACCATATTTTTCGCTCTATAAGATGCACCAGACCATAAGACGCACCTAGTTTTTGGAGGAAGAAAACAAGAAAAAAAATATTCTGAATCTCAGAAGCCAGAACAACAAGAGGGATCGCTGTGCAGCGAAAGCAGCGATCCCTCTTGCTGTTCTGGCTTCTGGGATAGCTGCGCAGCCTGCATTCGCTCCATAAGACGCACACACATTTCCCCTTACTTTTTAGGAGGGAAAAAGTGAGTCTTATAGAGCAAAAAATACGGTAATTACCAACATAACAAAAGTCATAAGCAATAAATAAAACACATCAAAAAGTACACCACCAAATGGAAAACAATTTCCACATAAATCATAAAATCTAAAGCTAAGAATACAACATTAATATCATTGAGGGGGTGTGAATTTTTGGACAGGTTAGTCTTCTTCTATTTGTCCCCATGTCAGTTTCAGTTTATTGGTTAGTTTTTCTAGTAAGGCTGTTTCTCATACTATTTGATACCATTGGTCCATGTTCACTCCTGACAGGTCTCTCTAGGGTCTGACTATGCTGTTTCCGGCTGCTGAGAGTAGGTGGGTTATGAGCTCTTTATGGTGTGAGTGGGCATTATTATCTTGGAAGGTGTTCAGTAGGGCCAGTTCTGGGGTGAGTTCTAATACTTGCTTAGTTATTTTGCACATTTCCTGTATTACTGATGTCCAGAGTTGTATTTTGGGACATTCCCACCACATGTGGAGGTATGTGCCTGTGGAGGTGAATCCTCTCCAGTATTTTGGTGATGTTCCTGGGTGTATCAGTGCTAGTTTCTGTGGTGTTAGGTACCATCTGTAAATCAGTTTAAGAGTGAGTTCTTTTCTTTTCTCTGATATGGATTTAAAGGGAGGTTTAGACCACATTCTAGTCCATTGGGTGAGGTTAATTTCATAGCCTATGTCATCCTGCCATTGTTTTTTGATTATGTTGAGGGGGTTTGCGGGATTTTGGAGCAGTATTTTGTATATTGTGGATACCATCCCCTTGCCATGTCCCTTTGTTGTTAGGAGGAGGTTTTCGAAGGTTGTCAAAGGCCTAGTTGCTGCTGATTTTACTACTGGATTGTTTAAGTGCATTTTACAAACTTGAGCAAAAGTTAACACAATTAGAAAAAAGGTGAACAAATCGTGCACTGTTTTCATGCAGCATTGTTTAATTTGTGGCCGATGCAGCTGTCGCTGGAGAAAAGCACCTCAGAGTCTGATCCTGAAGCCATAAGCCACCATGGACTTATGGTATCTAGAAAGATGGGAATAAATGGGAATGTCTTCAACGGTCAGTTGACAGGGAACTTTTTGAAGAAGTTGCTTTCGGTCCTCTCCATGACAATGCCTTTCACGCTTCTCCAGAAACAGACTGTCTTCAAGGGGGCCGGAATATAGCTCAACAAGTTTAGCATGCTAAGGAAAAGAATTCAAGCAATTGTCAATAAATAACAACATCACCACTGATAATAAAACACAAAGAATTAAGCAACTATGAACTTAGGAAGTCCTTCAGGATTTGTACTTCTCTGGTTTTGCCATTTGGTTCTGCAGTATGGAAATCGCCAACAGAGATGCATCATATTAGGGAAAATCCTTTGCAAAATGGTGTGAAATGAGCTTTATCTGCACTAGAGTATATGAGAAAGCATGGTGTGAACTCCTTATTCTGTGCAGTCAACAGGACACAGAATCAGAAGAAGAAGCCTAATTTGGGGAGAAGATCCCCACAGGGCAATTGCTTTCTTCAAAGAACTGCGATGTCACCAAAAGACCAACTCCAAACAGCCTTTATTTATAGCTTAACATTGCCTCTGTGCTTTGGTCTTTGACATCTGAGATGTATGTTTTCAGGACCCATCCTATTCCTGTGATTGTCATTTGCTTGGAAATGTTTTTAATACTGTAATTGAGATTGTAACATGCCCCGGGACCTTAGGACGAAGAGTGGGTAAGAAATAATAATAATAATAATAGTGATAATAGTGATAATGATGATAGAAAAGTTACGATGGTGGATATGAGTGAACAATATATACATCATTCAACTACATCATCATCATTATTATTATTATTATTATTATTATTATTATTATTATTATTATTATTAGAAAAGTTACAATGGAGAATATGATTGAATGATATATGCATCATTCAACTTCCTATGTTGGGACGCTTTTAATGTTTGACATTTTATTATGTTTTTACATGTGTTGGAAGCCGCCCAGAGTGGATGGGGCAACCCCGCCAGATGGTCAGGGTATTAAAAAATAAAATTAGTACATTTGAATGATATCTATGTTCATGATGAGAAATGCTCTCCAATTGCAGTGACTTCAATAGGTACTTTGTCGATGCTTAGGTAAAGGTAAAGGTACCCCTGCCCGTACGGGCCAGTCTTGACAGACTCTGGGGTTGTGCGCCCATCTCACTCAAGAGGCCGGGGGCCAGCGCTGTCCGGAGACACATCCGGATCAAGTGGCCAGCGTGACAAGCTGCATCTGGCGAGCCAGCACAGCACACGGAAACGCCGTTTACCTTCCCGCTAGTAAGCGGCCCCTATTTATCTACTTGCACCCGAAGGTGCTTTCGAACTGCTAGGTTGGCAGGCGCTGGGACCGAGCAGCAGGAGCGCACCCCGCCGCGGGGATTCGAACCGCCGACCTTTCGATCGGCAAGCCCTAGGCGCTGAGGCTTTTACCCACAGCACCACCCGGGTCCCCTTGCCGATGCTTAGTATCTTTCAAAAATTAGAGTCCTTCTTAAAATGAGAATCTCTAAGGAATAAATGTATTTCCCTTACCTTTAAAGCCATATCCCGATACTTCATATCTTGTTTCCAGGGCATCACGTAGAGCTTTGGAATCATTCCATGTCTGTATGAAAAGCTTGGCAAATGGCAATGAATCAGCCTGGAACATGACAAGAGTTGGTTTTACACACACACACACACACACACACCATGTGGATGTTGTTGTTTTTTAAAACTTATTTAAATACAGAGGGGGGAGACAAACAACACAGGGGAGAACAATTCCCTTCCTTCCCACCCCTAATGTGGCAAACTGAACTTATCCAGAAAGTGCTATTTATATGACAAAAAGAACCAGCATGTGGCTTAGTCATCCACAGTCATGGCAGTCCAGTTGTTAAGAGTGTTGGACCAGAGTGGAAAGGATGCAAGTTCAAGTCCCCACTTGGCCATGACCTTGGGCCTGCCACATTCCCTACCACAGGGTGGTTTTGCGCATAAGCAGAGGTGGGGAAACTATGGGGTCTTTGGAGGAAAGGTGGTGCCTATAAATGGAAAACAAACGAAGAAAAAATTCACATATTTACCCCTTTCCTTGGCGATGGGCCGGAATCAAATCGCACAGTTAGGAAAGAAGTTAACCAAAATATTATTCCTGGCCTGAAACCCTGTCAGGTTTTGCCAGTTCCTGAATGAATCTTCTGGAATTAATCCATTTACTAGCCATGGATGTCTGCCCTTCGCATGATGTCAGGTGTAGAACAGCTGGGCGTGGCTTGCCCAAAATAGCTTGGCAACCCAAATTTGGTCCATGAGCTGATGGTTAGCCCCCTTTATGATATGCACCAACATGGAACTAAAGGAATATCTGCCCCATATGTTGAAAGCACTGTGATACTGTTTCAAACTGTCATGGCTTCCCCCAAAGAATTCTGGGAGTTGTGGCTTGTGAAGGGTGCCGGCGGGTGTTAAGAGACACTCCATTTCCCCTCACAGAGCTTCAATTCTCAAGAGTGGTTGAGCAATCAAGCCCTCTTCCCAAGGAACTATAGTTCTGTGTGAGGAATAGGCAGTCGCCTAACAATTGTCGGCACCCTTAACAAACTACAGTGGTACCTCTGGTTAAGAACTTAATTCGTTCTGGAGGTCCGTTCTTAACCTGAAACTGTTTTTAACCTGAAGCACCACTTTAGCTAATGGGGCCTCCCACTGCCGCCCCGCCCTCGCCACACAATTTCTGTTCTCATCCTGAAGCAAAGTTCCTAACCCGAGGTAATATTTCTGGGTTAGCGGAGTCTGTAATCTGAAGTGTCTGTAACCTGAAGCGTCTGTAACCTGAGGTACCACTGTACAACTCCCAGGATTCTTGTGGGGATGGCATGGATGTTTAAAGCTGCACCATAAAGCTTTGAATGATGAGTAGATAGGAATAGGATTGCAGAGTCAGCCCAGTTTGGCAGGCCTGCTTTATTGTTAGTGAACTGGAAGAAGCAAAGATGGCCAGTGTCAAAGCAATGATTCTTCAACATCAACTTGGTTGGACTGGTCGTGTTGTTTGGATGCCTGATTACCGTCTTCCAAAGCAACTACTCTATTCCGAACTGAAAAATGGAAAGCGTAATGCCGGTGGTCAACAAAAGAGGTTTTAAGACAAGGCAAATATATAGTATAAACACAGACAATTGGGAAACACTGGCCTGCGAGCACTCCAGGTGGAGAACAGCCTTTACCAAAGGTGCCATGGGCTTTGAAGACGTTAAAACTCAGGACAAGAAACATGCTTAGAGGACGGCACGCTTGGCAAACCCTCACCATGATCAACTCCCACCTGGAAACCTATGTCCCCACTGTGGAAGGACGGGTGGATCCAGAACTGGCCTCCACAGTCACTTACGGACTCACTGTTAAGACCGTGTTCATGGAAGACAATCTTACTCGGCTACGAGTGATCGCCAAAGAAGAAGATTGTTAATCTTTAACATTTCACTTTTCCTTCCCAAAATGGTTTACTGTGCTTGCTAACCCATTGGGGGGGGGGTAGAAAAGGTGATCAGGACCCCCAGGGAACAGGAAGGCCCACCCACCCACTCCCAAATGCTCCTGCTGGAGATGAAGTCTTTCTCTTACCCTTTCAGGTCAGTATTGACTGCCTTTGAAACCAAATTGGGATTAGAGCCCTGTCCGGGCCCAGCATTTGGGTTACTCATGCTGCCGCCGTTGTCACCGCTGCTTCTCTGGGCTGAGATCTGTGCAAACAGCCGGTCCCTGTGTGTGCCTAGGTGGAGATTATGATGCATCAGCCATTGTCAGGCTGATGACACTAGAGCAACAACAAGGGAAAATGTCATTTAAGAAATATCGGGAAGGGATCAGGCCCACTTGAAAACGGTGTGATTAGATAGATGTAGAAGAACATCATGATACAACTTCATGAAAGTGGGCGAAGTTAGAAGGAAAGGCATTAATTAGGTTCCCTGGAGAGTCGCAAATACTTAATCAAAACAGCTTGAATTAAACTATTCCTGGGAGTGTGAAGCTTTTGCCATGCCAAGTACTGGTGGTTAATAAAAACCCCATGCGATACCACCTAGGTAGGTAAAGGGACCCCTGACCATTAGGTCCAGTCATGGCCGACTCTGGGGTTGCGGCGCTCATCTTGCTTTATTGGCCGAGGGAATCGGTGTACAGCTTCCGGGTCATGTGGCCAGCATGACTAAGCCGCTTCTGGCGAACCAGAGCGGCGCACGGAAACGCCGTTTACCTTCCCGCTGGGGCGGTACCTATTTATCTACTTGCACTTAAGAGTGCTTTCGAGCTGCTAGGTTGGCAGGAGCAGGGACCGAGCAACGGGAGTTCACCCCATCGCGGGGATTCGAACCTTCTGATTGGCAAGTCCTAGGCTTTGTGGTTTAACCCACAGCGCCAGCCGTGTCCGCGATACCACCTAAACAGCACCAAATCCAAGTGGAAGCTGCAAAGGAAGTTCCTCTGCCTTTGGCGCAGTTTGAATTCGGCGCCTTACACTGTCAGCCACGTCCCGGCAGTGATCAGATAGACTCAAGAATTCCTGCTTGCTGTTTCACGACCCCACTTCTCCAAAGCGTTCCTTCTGTAAACCAGGATAGGGGCCTAGGTAAAACTATGACGGTAAAGGAATGATCTTAACGTCTATGTTTCTCACCCTCGACATCATACGATAGCTTGTTTGGCTGGTTCCCCACCCCTGCTGGATGTCGGGGCTGGAGTCAGGTCCTCAACCAAGCAATTACCAGAGGCCGGTGAAGTATGTGGGATGTGATCCATGACAGGCAGTCAAGTACAACATGCCTTGTAATGCTAGAGAACACATGCGGGGGAATGTTTGGTCCAGCCAGTTGAAACTTCCTGTTCCTCCTGGCTGGAGCATCCTTCCTTTTGCATGTGATAGAAGGTGGGCGTGACCTTACCTGTCCAGGTAATAAAAGGATGTCGCACAGCACCCCCCTCTTTTTTCACCTCCTTCGTTTGACCAGCTTTTAGCTAGGACTGCTCTGGTAGCTCTCAGCTAGCAGGAGCACTGGTATTATTCCCCCATGGGGTAGATTCACATGTACATATTTGTAACAGTCTGCTTTCAGGAATCCAGCTGTGAACTGATGTGAGTAAACTTCTTTTATCATATTTGAATAAGATTGTGGAGTCTTTATTTTTTTTAAGAGGGATTCAAGGGAATTTACCAGGAACACACAATTCAATCTGAGACAGATTGAATTGTATAATAGTGAGAAGCTCACACGAGCCTGCAACCAGTTATCTGCGTGAGAAGGGGAATGTAAACTCTGCTAAGTAAAGGAACTTGCTAGCACAAGTTAGGAAGGGTATTAACAAACAACATATCCTCTCCTGCCACCCTGAACATTCCCACAAAGTTAACTCTTCCTTCAAGCAAACCACAGCTCAGGCATAGCGCCCTCAGCAACTCTTTCAAGGAGTGTCTTCGCACAGCCACCCTCTGCTCAGCCTGTTTCATTTATCTGTGTGTTCCAGATGAGAGGGGAGAGGGGAGCTGGTCACAGCAGAAAGGGGGGACCCCCCTGGATTCTTCAGCAGCATGCCTCCACTCTGCCTCTTGGTCTCCCTCTGCTCCAGCCTCAGAGTCTGAACTGCTCTCTGCACAGCCTCTTCCTGCTCACTAAACCCCATTGCCTTTTCTGCTGCTGACACCTCTTCCCAGTCTGTTCCCTCTTCTTCCTCTGACAGCTCACCGTCATCCCACCACCAATTCCCTGGCTCTGACCCTCTTCTTCCCTAGGGGTTCCCCAGCTGGTGCCTTCTCTGCATCCAGTCTGTGACACTGGACTAGACGGACCTTTGGTCTGATCCAGCAGTGCTCGTTGTGGGTACCCGCATGCTCCTTTTCTACAATGCATTTGAATCATCGGATGCAAACCCATTCAAATGCATGGTCTGGTGCTGGTGATGGAATCTGGGTAGCTGAGTTATGAAGAGAAAAACCCGGGTGATATCAGCTTGTTCCCCTCTTGGTCCCTATACCATTTCCTGCATGGACTGGATGCAATGGTGATTGCATGAGTGACCCAAGTACACTTGCTTTTTCTTTACTAAATATGCACGAGGAATTGTCCCCATTGTGCTCCCTACCAGGATCAGACCACGACCAAGAGCTGCTCTTTGCTTAAGGAAAAAACACACAATGGCCAACCATGTGATTCAAGTCACATCTAGCTTGCCCTTAGAAGTCTGGCAAAGCTGACAGTACAGGCTCCTTAAGTATGTTTATATCCGTAGCCTTAATCAATTGTATCTTCTATAGTAGTGGCTAAAAATCTGTTATTTTTGTCCTGCTCACTGTATAAAATGCCATAAGAGACATTCACGCCTGAAGGGCTCACGCTCCAGAAACGAAGTAGATAAAATGGGTGTGCTAAACCTAAGCAAACGACAAGACAATATTGACAAGACAATATTGATCCGTTCCACAGACAGAGGCCTCCGGCCATCACCTATTTTATCAACTTTTCTTCCCTCTTTTGATCCTCGCAGCAATAGCTTAAAGAAGGATTAAAAGAATTCCAGGGCAATGTGGTTCCCTTTTAAGTGCAATGGGAGTTTGTATTGTTAGTTTCCCTGAGTACACCTGTCATGTCAAAAGGACTGCAAGGCAATAAAGGGAGACTACAGGAGTATGGGAAAATAAAATTTTGCCAAAGGCAGTTAAGTGATCAAATACTTTTTGACACAACGGGGGATTGAAACATGTGTGCTCAGTGCCATCTTCTCCTGCAATAACATTTCTTACAGTGATTCATTGTGCAGGTCTGAGCTGAGTAGTCAGGTACTCATAAAAACCGCATTGCAAGTGAAGCGTCCATACATTGAGAATAAGCACACAATGCTGATTATTCTTGACTCAATAACCCCAACGCTGTGCTGTTTCACTTCCTATATTGTTTTTTAAGCCTCTTTCAAGCTCAGGGGTGGGGGGGTTTAGAAATTAAACATTCGGTACACACCAAGTTTTATTAAAAAATCCAACTACTAATTCCTACAACTGAACATTAAACCATACGTGAGAAACTCTGCTTTTGTCCTCTCAGAGTCTTTACAAATGGGATATTTGCATGCCTATCGTTATGGTTCAGGCAAATGTGTTGCTAGATTTTAACTGTTAAATCCCATGACCTTAAAGGAAATGATCTTAAACTGTGATGGAAAAATCGGGGATTTATATGCTCGGTCTCATTTAAATGTTAAAATATTAAATAAAGCAAAAATAAAGTGCTCTTGGCAACTGCAGATGGCAAAACAGTTTTACTCCAATTAAGTGGTCTTAATTAAGAAACAGGCTGTGGGGTGATTCTTTTAGACGTCCTACACCCAGCATAAGGTTGCTAAGGATGCAGACTATTAACAGCCTTGGCAAAGAACCCTACTTTACCAACACTGTAATGGTGTTTAGAGCAGCATTTCAGATAGTTTTCTAGCTAACAGCCTGCTTTCATGTGCATATTCCCAGAACAGCAGGGGATTGTAGTCCCTAGGATGTTAAGGACTAGAGTTGCAAAATACCAATTAATAAATAAATGGAAAATTACCAAGGCCACTGCAAAGGATGTCCAACTTGAAGTATATGCAATAGTTATCTTTTAAGTACAGTACAACCATCTTATAGGTGAAGTTTGAATTCTCTAGAATACGGTTTGAGAGAGCAATCCTTTATTAGCTGGCAATAACATGTCATTGTTTCCACATCCGGAACAGCAGTTTTAACTTAACATTTTGGAATGAAAACACAAAAATAAATTGCGGTTCTTTCATATAATACCCCATACGCGTGTGAGGTCATCTCGGATACCAGATACTAAGAAAAGAACATTTCTATCCCAAGAAATTTAGTTACTGTGGATATCTTTAGCCTTGTTGATCTTTAATGATCTATTGATAATTGGTATACTTGTTATTTGAGCAGCAACTTACAAAACAATTAAGTCAGTGTAGTCAAGATTTAAGGCAATTTAGTGCCATGAATTTTCAGCGTAGGTGATATGCAGCAGACTGTCAGACCCTCTGAAGGCTATCAGCGGACCACAGCCTAAGCCTCAACAACCCTTTCGTGAAATTGTTGGGCATTAACACAAAAATACAGAGGAGAATGAGCCAAAAGTCAGCCTTGAAAAGTTCAGATGGGCTTTTTTTCACCCGACTAACTGTACTGTGCACAACTGCCGTGTACAACACAACACTTGCATGTAGCTAAACTATGCAACTCAGATTCCCACCCCCCATAGATAATGAAGCAAACAAAAATATGCAATTAGAAAGAAAACTGTAATCCAAAATGGTAACCAAGAATCTTGAGTCTGGCCTACTGGGGCTGCAATTCTGTAACCAGTTACATTGTGTTCAAGGCCCAACAGATTTCAGTGGTACTTAAGTACATGTAATTTGACACAATATCACACCATTAGCACAAAACTCATCAGCATAACTAAAAGTGTGGTGCAGTAAGTCCATTTGTCTTACTGAACAATATTCAAAAATGGGATAAGAGTTCTGCAAATTTTTGCACCTACCGCTTCAGATAGGGGAAAAAAAAAAGCCCAGATACTTTGTCATTAAAACAAAACATAAATCTGAAGATTCCTTACAATCTTCTAGAGAAAACAGTCTTGTAGATAGTAATGTACATTCAGACAAAGGACACCTAATACCTCTGCACTGCATTCCTTCCTATTATTAATGCTGCATCTAAAGAGACATTTTCAGTAATTTGCAAGCATTTGGAATACCGTATTAGAAAAATGTTCCCAAACTCTGCAACCATGAACACCATGCTAATTATAAATGCTTCCATGGCAGATTAAATGTCCAAGTGTGGTATGTCACTTTGTTGCATATTACCTTTAGTTAAATAATACAGAAAACATTTCTATGCAGTTAGCAGGCGCCAGACATGAGCTTTACTCTGGAATGAGAATATTCAGTTTTGCTCTTACCTAGAAACTATCCCACAGGTGAGGGAACATAGCCTAACTAGGTGCTGAGTTATATAACAAAGGAGATAGCGGATCAAAGTATTTTCATGATCTAAATCAAACTGAAAACTCAAGTATGGACACTAAGTTAGAAAACAAAGGCCCTCTTCAGTATACAACC